GCCGCCCGTCGTTGTCGGCAACAAGCCTTCTCAGAAGTTCTCGCTTGTCCACAACATTCTGAAGAACATCCTCGATGGTTTCGACAACCAGGTTGTCATGCAGGAGACCCTCAACGCCTTCATAGAGGTTCTTCGGGACCCCAAGCTCCCCTACAGCGAGTTTGCTGCGCAATTCTCCGCCCTCCATGCTCGCATGCCCCAGAAGCTCGACGCCCAGTTCACGTCGGTCCTCGAGCGTGCTGCTCAGAGGGCGGCCGAGTTCCCCGCCCGTAACCTGGCCAAGGTGTTCCAGAAGTTCCTCGACGAAAATGTCGCTCCCGAGGATGTCGAGACGCTCAAGTCCACCCTTGCCCCTCTGACGGAGGTGCTCGATCTCTATTCCGAGGGGCCCAAGGTCCGGGAGCTCAGCATCATTGCCGACCTGCTTTCCTCCTACGCCGACGTGGAGCGCCTGTTCTCCGGCCGCCGCTTGCAAGACGAGGAGGTCATTCTGAAGCTTAGAGACGAGAACAAGGAGGACATCCAAAAGGTGGTTCAGACCGTCCTCTCCCACAGCAGAGTGGCGGCGAAGAACTCTCTGGTCCTTGCCATTCTCGAGGAGTACCGCCCCAACAAGGCCCACTCGGGCAATGTTGCCAAGTATCTGCGTCCCGTCCTTCGCAAGATGGCCGAGCTGGAGTCCCGCCAGACAGCCAAGGTCTCGCTCAAGGCCCGAGAAATTCTCATCCAGTGTGCCCTTCCGTCTCTTGAGGAGAGAACGGCCCAGATGGAGCACATCCTTCGATCCTCGGTCGTCGAGTCTCGCTATGGTGAGACTGGATGGGACCACCGTGAGCCCAACCTGGAGGTCATCAAGGAGGTTGTCGACTCCAAGTACACCGTCTTTGATGTGCTCACGCTCTTCTTCGCGCACGAGGATCCCTGGGTCTCGCTGGCTGCCCTCGAGGTCTACGTTCGTCGTGCCTACAGGGCGTACGTCCTCAAGAACATCGACTACCACACTGACGAGGCTGAGTCGCCCGCCTTCGTGTCTTGGGACTTTGCCCTCCGCAAGATTGGACAGTCCGAGTACGGCCTGCCTCTCCAGTCTGCCGTCGCATCGACCCCGGGCACCCCGGTGGACAGCACCTTCAAGCGCATCCACTCTATTAGTGATATGTCGTACTTGACGGCCAAGACATCCGAGGAGCCAATCCGCAAGGGTGTCATTGTTCCCTGCAAGTACCTGGATGACGCCGAGGAGTTGCTTGCCAAGGCACTCGATACTCTGCCTATTGCCGGTGGCCTCCGTAAGAAGACAGCCAGCGGTTTCATCCCCGATCTCAACAACAAGCGCAGACCTGCTCTCCCGTCCCGTCTTGACAGCGCCGTCGACGAGCTCTCGGCTGTTGTCAATGTTGCCGTTCGGGATGCCGAGGGCCGCAGCGATGACGAGATCCTCAAGGAGATTCTTCCCGTGGTCCACCAGTTCAAGGACGATCTCTTCGCTCGGCGCGTGCGTCGCCTGACGTTCGTGTGTGGCCGCAACGACGGGTCGTACCCCGGTTACTACACCTTCCGAGGCCCCGAGTACATTGAGGACGATAGCATCCGCCACATTGAGCCCGCCCTTGCCTTCCAGCTTGAGCTTGGACGTCTCGCCAAGTTCAAGATCAAGCCTGTCTTCACGGAGAACAAGAACATTCACGTGTACGAGGCCATTGGCAAGGGTGTCGACACTGACAAGCGGTACTTCACGCGCGCCGTCATCCGCCCAGGTCGCCTCAGGGATGACATCCCCACCGCCGAGTACCTCATCTCGGAGGCTGATCGTGTCATCAACGACATCTTTGATGCTCTGGAGATCATTGGCAACAACAACTCGGATCTGAACCACATGTTCATCAACTTCACGCCCGTCTTCCAGCTCCAGCCTGAGGAGGTTGAGCACTCCCTGCAGGGCTTCCTCGACCGGTTCGGTCCCCGCGCGTGGCGTCTCCGCGTCGCGCAGGTCGAGATCCGCATTATTTGCACGGACCCCGGCACCGGCCTGCCCTACCCCCTGCGAGTCATCATCACCAACACCTCCGGCTATGTCGTCCAGGTGGAGATGTACGCCGAGCGCAAGTCTGAGAAGGGCGACTGGGTGTTCAACTCCATCGGCGGCACCACCAAGATTGGTGCCATGCACCTCCTCCCTGTGTCGACCCCTTACCCCACCAAGAACTGGCTTCAGCCCAAGCGCTTCAAGGCCCACCTGATGGGAACCCAGTTCGTCTATGACTTCCCTGAGCTCTTCCGCCAGGCCATTCAGAACAGCTGGGCCAAGGCTGTCAAGAAGCATACTGGTCTCGCTGACAAGCAGCCTCCTGTTGGGGACTGCATCGAGTATATGGAACTCGTCCTCGATGACCATGACAACTTGGCAGAAGTGTCCCGCGAGCCCGGTACCAACACCTGTGGCATGGTTGGATGGCTGATCCACGCCAAGACGCCCGAGTACCCCAAGGGTCGCAAGTTTGTCGTCGTTGCCAACGACATCACCTTCAACATTGGTTCGTTTGGGCCCAAGGAAGACAACTTCTTCTTCAAGTGCACAGAGCTGGCGCGCAAGCTCGGCATCCCCCGCATCTACCTCTCGGCCAACTCTGGCGCCCGTCTCGGCCTGGCCAACGAGCTGATGCCCCACTTCGATGTCGCCTGGAACGACCCCAGCAAGCCCGAGGCAGGGTTCAAGTATCTGTACCTCAACGACAAGGCCAAGGCTCGTTTCGAGAACTCGGTCATCACCGAGGAGGTCACCGAAGATGGCGAGAGGCGCCACAAGATCACCACCATCATTGGTGCTGAGGATGGCCTTGGTGTCGAATGCTTGCGCGGCTCTGGTCTCATTGCCGGTGCCACAAGCAGGGCCTACCATGACATCTTCACCTGCACACTTGTCACGTGCCGCTCCGTCGGTATGTTTACCCCCTCGCTGACTTGGTGCTATCTGTTGCTAACATTCCTCCAGGTATTGGTGCCTACCTCGTGCGCCTCGGCCAGCGCGCCGTCCAGATCGAGGGTCAGCCCATCATCCTCACGGGTGCTCCTGCCCTCAACAACCTGCTCGGTCGCGAGGTCTACTCGTCCAACTTGCAGCTCGGCGGCACCCAGATCATGTACCGCAACGGCGTTTCCCACTTGACCGCTAACGACGACTTTGCCGGCGTGTCCAAGATTGTTGAGTGGATGTCGTTTGTTCCGGACAAGCGTAACAATCCTGTCCCGATCAGCCCGTGCGTCGACACCTGGGACCGTGACATCGTCTACACGCCTCCTCAGAAGCAGGCATATGATGTCAGGTGGATGATCGCTGGCAAGGATGACGCAGATGGGTTCCAGCCCGGTCTCTTCGACAAGGACTCCTTTGTCGAGACTCTCGGTGGCTGGGCTCGCACCGTCGTCGTCGGCCGTGCTCGTCTTGGTGGCATCCCCATGGGTGTCATTGCCGTCGAGACTCGCTCCGTCGAGAACATCACCCCTGCCGACCCCGCGAACCCGGATTCTATCGAGCAGATCACCAACGAGGCTGGTGGTGTCTGGTACCCCAACTCCGCCTTCAAGACGGCACAAGCCATCAACGATTTCAACCATGGTGAGCAGCTGCCGCTGATGATCCTCGCCAACTGGCGCGGTTTCTCTGGTGGTCAGCGTGACATGTACAACGAGGTCCTCAAGTATGGATCGTACATTGTCGACGCCCTCGTCAAGTTTGAGCAGCCAGTCTTCATCTACATCCCGCCCCACGGCGAGCTTCGTGGTGGCTCGTGGGTCGTCGTTGATCCCACCATCAACCCCACTTCGATGGAGATGTACGCTGATGTCGACTCTCGCGGCGGTGTTCTGGAGCCCGATGGCATCATCGGCATCAAGTACCGCAAGGACAAGCAGCTGGAGACCATGGCCCGTCTTGACCCTGTCTACGCCGGCCTGAAGAAGCAGTCCATGGAGCCTGGTCTCTCCAAGGAGGCCTCTGAGCAGCTTAAGAAGCAGATGACGGCCCGCGAGCAGCAGCTCCTTCCCGTCTACGGGCAGATCAGCCACCAGTTTGCCGATCTTCACGACCGCGCTGGACGCATGAAGGCCAAGGGTGTCATTCGTGAGATCCTCGAGTGGCAGAATGCCCGTCGCTTCTTCTACTGGCGCGTGCGCAGGAGACTCAACGAGGAGTACATCCTCCGCCGCATCGCCGCTTCCACTACCGCGGCCGGCATCCACCACAAGCTGACGACGGCGCCAACGACGCCGGCGACGCGTGCTCGCCACCTCCGGCAGCTGGAGGCGTGGTGCGGCATCCCCGCGTTTGACAAGAGCGATCGCGAAGTGGCGGTATGGTACGAGGAGAATCGCAAGGTGGTCACCGATAAGGTCGAGGCCCTCAAGGCGGATGCCATTGCGGCCGAGATGCGCGATCTGATCCGCGTTGGGCACGCTGCCGGCAACGAGCACGCCGAGTTTGGGGCATGGAAGGGTGTCCGCGAGATGCTGCGGGTGATGCCCGTGGATGAGAGGGAGAAGATCTTCAAGTACTTGAAGCAGGTTTAGAGGGGGTGTTGTGAGTGCATGTATGGTTGGAGATGATTAGACAGGCATATACTTGGGCTGGGTGGTATGGTTTGGAGTTGGGTCCATATGAGACACATGACGGGTCCTGTCGGGGTTGCACACTTGTATCTTGTATTATTCATTTTCCCTTTTGGCGATTTGATGCCTTGCTAGAGAACTGTTCAGTCTAGGTCTGTAATTGCATACATACCTATTACCGATCCTTAGTCGTCCCCGTCTCGTGCATTGTGCACCGCCCTCGAACAGAGAGACAGCCGGTGGCGTCTGGTCATCCACGAGCACTTCATCACGGAGAACAACAGACCCGGCCAGGACAAGACTGGCATGCAAAGGATGAATGCAATGTAAAAAATAACAAGACAAAGGAAATGACACTGGCAAAAAGAGCCAAGCCCCCTTTGCCGCGCGATGGTCTCTCCCGCCGGGAATTGAACCCGGGTCTCGAGCGAAAGTCAGCACCTTGAAAGATGGACATGACAAGCTCACATACTGACCACTATACTACGGAAGATATGGGTGTGAATGTTTCTGATTCATTCACCGTAGCAGGGCAGCGCGGAGAAGGGAAGCCTGGAAATCTCGGATACGGGGAGTCGAACCCCGGGCTGGTGAGTGAGAGTCACCGATGTTACCGCTACACCATACCCGATTTCTGTTGTTGATGGGGGAGGGGGGTGGAAATGGGGTTTGTGGGGGGATTGGACTTGCATTGTGTCATGGTTGATGGGTTTAACGGTGGTGGCTTGAGGCCGGGGGTTGGGTCTGACTCGTGTGAAGTTTCTTTTGTCGTTTGGCACGATGTTTCGGGCTGGGGAGGGGGCTTCGATTCTGGACAGCTGGGTTTGGGTGTGAGAGGGCTTGCCGACACATATCGAGAGCACAGCCGCGGTGAGGTACGGTGGTGTTGACGTTGATGGCGATCTTGGTGTGCTTGTCGTGGCTCAGGTAGAGCAATAACGAAACCAAAGGCCATCAACAACCCAGCCCGCTTGGCTCAGTGGTAGAGCGTGTCACTAGTACCTTGCATCTGTCCAGGATTCAAAGACCATGACAAGGTCATCAGTTCGATTCTGATAGTGGGCATTCATTCAATTTTTGCATCTTTGACCTCTTTTTGCCTGGAGCATCACAGAGCCCATAGGGTGGGAAACGCGTGGTTCCTTTTTGGACTGGGGAGAACTGCACTGTGTCGGCGGTGTCAAGAGGTGGGGAGGGAGGTCTCTGTTGTAGGATGGATATCGTTGATCTGTGGCGTTGGTCCCTTGCTGTCTTGTGGTCTCGGACAATGCTTCCCTCGGGCCTGGATCGATGCTTCCAGGGTCATGGTCGCCGCTTATCCCCGACGTGGCTGGCTGGTGATCCGGCCATGCCCGGGCCCTTTGAGTCGAGCATCTCCGCGCCGTCTCCGTCCCGGCGGTTACGCTTGACGGAGCCGGGGCCGAAACAAGTCGGGGGATCCTTGCATGGTTCCAGCCAGGCGGCTGAGGCTCAAGAGCCAACGTGGTCGCCATTGGGTGCTGACCGGCAGCCAGTGATGCGAACCTTTGGGATGTCGATGTGATACAAACAGATCGAGCTTGGTGCGGCTGGGTGCATGTGGGGAAGAAATGAACGAACACAGTAGGTAGGTACTTTTGCTCTAAATTTAGTGTCCCCGGAGTTGGCTTCCGCGAGCCGGCGAATGCTGGTGTTGACGTGGGGTGGTTCATCGGAAGGATGATTGCGAATGGGGGTCGACTGAAGGGGGAATTGAGCCCGGCGTGGTCTCCTTCTGGAAGGGTGTGAAGGATGGACCACTGGCAAGACACGGAACCTTCTGCGTCGATGGCTGATGGGCGGCCATTGCTTGATCTAGTCCGTCCGTGGTCAAGTACCCGAATCGGCATCCGGCAGATCGGCAATCCCAAGGTGCGGCTGCCTACACCATCTGTGATGTGATCTGGCAATCCGTACGGAGCACGATTTCGTTTCTTTGCGCCCCCGGCGGCCATCTCGTTGGGAGACATCTGCGAGCCTCGAGGGTGCGAGTGGGTGTGTGGCGTATGTTGTGGAAGGTGCGAAACGTGCTCGACGTGCCATGGGCCAGCAGCGATTGGTAACAAGGTGACGTGCGAATACTTGGGCAATGATCATGGAAGCTTAAATTAAGTCCGGGCATCGTGGGTGGGAGGGACCCTTGAAGAAGAAAATACCCGTGGCTATCAACCACTCTTGTGGCCCGTCACCTCGCTCGATACCCAATCCCTGCCACCTGCGCCACAGACACACCCCGTCATCGAAAGAACCCTTGAGGCTTGAACTCCGTGCATGTGCCGGAGTCCCGACTCCCCGAGTCCAGACTGCGTGACTGACTGCCAGCACTGAGCACGTGCACTCGCCGGGTCCCTGTTCATCACATACATGTACACGAACTTCATCAAGCCCACCCCTTCCCATGATCATCGTGTTCCCGAATGTTCTTCGCCATCTCGATCCCAACGGCCAGATGTCTCAGATTGGGCGTGCTTGATCGAGAAATCTCGAGCCATGAAAATGACCTGTCAGCTTTTCTCCGGCCCTTCTGCTGGGCAGGATCGATTTCATGATGATCGAGGCGGCTGATGAGTATTCCAACCCCACGCAGTCACCTCCTACAGACCCAGACACTGACCAGACCCTTGCCAAGGAACGGCAACCCGGCTGGTAGACGATTGCTGTCTGCATTCCGATGCCTCCGATTGGATCTTGGACACCATCTCGCGTCCCTGGTCCATCCGACTGTCACATCACCGAGCTACTTCATGACCCTACGTGTGAGGCTCTGGAATGTGGTGTCGCTTCGGCGGTGGATTCCCAATGCGTCTCTGCCCGACGGGGTAGCGACCGAGATCTCATGCAGCCCACGATGGTACGCAAGATGGAGAGTGGTAGTCGGGTACCTGATGAGCTCCTAGCTTGGCCAACACCGAACACCTGCAGTAGCCTTTATATCATCCATCTTGACCCTCAGGCGCTTGCAAGAGCACAATACCTGCAGAAAGGCCCGCGTTCAATCTAGAACTTCGAGCACCCGAGCTGCATCTGGGGGGGAGGCTGTTTGGAGAAGGGTTTCTCATCCGAGCGCATCGGTAAAGAAAAGGGAACACGCCTCTCCAGGGTCTGGACAAGACAAGGCAGGGGACAAGTAGAAATAAACCCCTTGAACAATCATCCGTGAACCACTAAGGATCGGTTGATGAGACGGCCCACACTTTCCTTCAGTCAACAACGCCCGATGGCGAAGGAATCCAGATTTGTAGATGCCATCGAGCACATAGCACGGATATGTTCTCCTTCCACACCGGCCAACGCCACTAGCTTCAGCCCATCCTTGGAACGCGGTATATTACACTCGTCCACCTCCCCGGATCAAACAGCTTGATTTATCCTCAGAGTATCCAGTCGTCTTTCCATCTCCATCAGTGCCTTCATCCATCATCCAGCCAGAAAACCACCACTCCAGCAACATCAACTCCGGGAAAACCTAGCCGTTGGCCAAGATATCCCACAAGTCAGTAACCATGGACCACCAAGGCCGTCCCATCCCCCGCCCCATCGACCCCCTCCCCTACCCCCACTGCTTTGTCATCCTCCCGCCCGACACCGTCACCAAGGACCGGACCCTCTACCCGCCCCTGGTCATCAAGACCCTCCTGCCCGACAGCATGAGGGGCCACACCATCAACGCCATGCCCTGCGGGATGGACGCCGACGACCGCGTCCGCCCCGTGCTCCAGGGCAACTTTGCCCACCAGGGCAAGATCGTCGACGAGTACGTCCCCGACGCCGGCGGCAGCTCCAGCAGCGGCGGCGGCGGTGGTGACGGCAGTGGCTACCACACCGTGTACTTTGTCTTTTCCCACCTGACCTTTACGAGCACGGGCGCCTACAAGATCCGGCTGAGCCTGTGGGACATGGAGGACTACGGATACCTGGGCGACATTGACACGGACTTTTTCGACGTCATCCGGAGGAGCGCGAGGCGGCAGGTGCCGAGTAAGTCTACCTACCTGTGTCTTGATGTTTGTGTGTGTATGTCGTGGGACCGGGGGAGCTGATACGTGCGGTTGCGTGTAGATCATCAGGAGGCTGCCACGATGGAGTATCTCCGGGAGGCGGGCTTTGATGACATGCCTGCTTCTACTTGATGGGGGGTCAAATGATTAACAGGGACTGGACATACGGATGGGGGAATCTTGGGTTGACACCAGACATTGTTTTTGGGAACTGGACTTACTGATATATTACTTATGGATTAATGTGTATTGCAAACGGTACTGCATGATCAAGGATGGGGGCGCTGAGGACTGGAAATTGACACGTTGCAAACAAGTTGAAATTAGGCAGTGGTAACTGGAGAGCGATACCAAGGGCCGCAATGCATGCTCTGTCGTGTTTGTCGGCTTCTTCTATAATATAATATAACTTTGTCCGGTTAGGGGTGTTACCTGTTTGACAACTCGGGGGAGGGCTGGGATTACCCCTGACATATGTATTACATTGAGATATAAAGGCTAAAGAAGGTGCCCTAAAGAAACCCTTCGATTTATAAACTATACTAAGGAAAGTAGATAATGTCTGTACTCTATATATCTCTCGTAGGAGTCTACGTACTCGTATTATACATCGAGGCCCTGCCTCTGCCAGAAACTATAATAGCCGAGGGAGACTCGCTCCTTAAACCTTTAAATTCCAGCCTTTACTACTCCCAACAATCCTCGGAACAGCACCTCGGAACAGCACCTAATATACTACCTACATCCTTGCCAGCAGCAATTTAGCGAAGTCGGCATGATGGATAATAATCCCGAACCTCTAGGGGACGTAGAGTTATGGGCAGAGCATATATTTCGGCAACTGCCGAGCAATCGCTGCTTTAATATTCTAGTCGAACCGTCCCAGCTTACTACACAGTGGCGCACCCTCTTTCCTCCTCTTATTACCAGGATTCTACTGCCCGACAATTGGCCGGGACGATACAAGAGGGGCGATAGTGTGACAGCTACCCCTGCTTGCAGTGACCCAAACAATAGAAATTTATCCCGTAGGAGAGCGCTAGAATTCGGAATACCTCCAGGCTCAACCAACCTAAAACAACAGAACGAGGGTAGAATCCCTCAAGAGTCGGTGCAGATAGCTTTGGATGGAAAGAGCCCTCCGCCTGAACACCACTGGGTTTACTTCGCATTCCCTGATGTGTACTTTAGGCACTCGGGGCATTTCGAGTTACGCCTGGACATACACATAAGACGAGAAAATGCCAAAGATTCGTGGCTAGGCGCGGTAATACTGCCGTTTGGCAAGACCGGCTTCCAAGTTATTACGGGGGATTCGCCTAGAAGGCAACTAAGTATATTCACCATCCATTTAACTTACAATTTAAAGAGACAAGTCTAATGTGTTTGTTTTTCTTTTACAGCCGATGAGCAAGCTCGGTGTATACGACTTCTCCGGACCGTGGATGGCTTCGAAGACCTTCCACTGTCACCTCCCGACATAACTGCCGAGAGGGGCGATGCCCAGACAGGTAATGCCGAGACTGACGGTGCTGAGATAGACGCTGTCTATGCTACGCTCGGCCCCGAAGAGGGCTCTTATCTTCTTCCTGAATAGTTTCGCAAGGAGTTCGGTCTACCTAAGAGCTCTGGTAAAGGCTGGAAACTTGAACTGGAAACAGGAACCGTGCTTAAGTCTTTATTTGTACCAATTACTTTATAGCTGAAACCCTCGATGTTTGAAAAGAAACAAACAATCTATTGGATTTACCTTTCAATCAGTGTGAATGAGTTTTCCTTGGCGGCTGATGTTGACATTGCTGCCTCGGGGTACACTCCAGCGATAGTTTGTTTGCTCGAGACATTTTGCCAAGGAAATTAGACCTTTTGGACAAGACGAGACGTCCGAGTCTCCGATTCCAACTTCAGCTTGTACCGTGCAATGCCTCGCGATAGTAAGCAACCAAGTATTGGATTGTAGTGCACGTCGGAGGGCTTCTTCATTGATATTTGATGTCACATGTACTTGTGACCCCCTGGTTTCAGCCAGAAAAGAACCCTGGAAGCACG